CCCCGTGCTCACCGGGGCAGCGATTCAAAATGGCACCCAAGATGGCAGCTGTCAATAGGAGCCAAAAAGCATAAGCTTGTTTCTTAAAGGGGAAGCCTCCTTTTTGGAGGGTGGGGAGGAGTCTCGACAATTCTGGTGTGGCTCTTTGCATTTCTGGATGTTTCAGCTCTATTTGTTAAATGGGTTGGCCACCCCTGAAGTAGTCGATAGTGCTACCCGATACCTCCTGCTTATCATATACTCGACTACTCCATCACATCCTTAGACCAGTCTGCTAAAGAAATTTACTGGCCTGGGCCGGGGGGGGGGGGGGGGAGGGGGGAGAGAGAGAAATGTGTGTAATCTATAGCATTACCTATAAGCTTTTGCTTATTGGTTAGTCTACTACACTATTATATCCCTACCCCCATCTGAGAAATCTTACTCTTCTGCCTCTCCAGCATCACAGGGGAAAGGGAAGGGACAGGGAAGGCTGAAGTTCAGGGCTTCCCATAGGCCAGATTTACTTTTCTGGAGTTCCAGAGTTAGTGAATTTTGTGGACCCCCTTAGGTCCTGGGATGGGAATAAAAATGAGGGGTTCAGTGTGTGCGACAGGGATGCCAGTAAGTGGGATAAGGATGCAGGATCTGAGCAGGAAGGGGAGTGCAGGACGGAGTGAGGAGGGCAGGGTCTGGAGGGGAGGTTGGTGGCTGGAGGTGGGGGTGGGGATTGAGAAAGAGTTTGGGGGTGGGAGAGTGGGGAAGTAACACAGAAAAAGTCAATGGGTGAGAATGCAGCCAAATAGCTAATTGGCAAGGGTGGTAAAGAAATGGGGAGTAAAGGAAATTGCAGCTTCTGCAAAGTAAAATTGTATCCCCCCCCCGCTCACATCTTCCCTCTGCTCCAGCCTCACTACCCTCAGCTCCATGATTCCCCCCAGCTTGATCATCCCATGCCCCTGAATGCAACAGCTGCCCCCTGATCCTTCTTCACTCCCCTCCTGCCCTCACATCATTGTGACCCAATAGCACGCACTGGCAGGGAAGCAGCATTGGGCCTTGCAGCCCCCTGAGAGCAGTGCTGGGGTGCGGAGGGGCCAGAATCATTTTTCTGCCCAGCCTAGCCCTTTGCCTAGGCTCACCCTTCACCTGCAGGCTGCAGCTCTGGAGCTGGGGTGGGTGGAGCCAGGAGCTGGTTCCAGCCTGGTCAGGTGCAACGGATGCTGTGGAAGGGGCTACCCAGCCTTGCACATAGCTCATGGAAGAAGCAGTGCATCCCAGGCTCCGGCATCCCACGTGACCATCCACCCAGCCCTGATCTCCAGAGCAGCCCCAGCTCCGCTTCCTCCCAGGGCAGGAGGCAGAACCTGTAGCACAGAGGTGGGGAGGTTAACCCCTTAGCTCCCGGGAGCTGCATGCCCAGGCCGGGCAGGGGCAATCCCAGGGACATGGAGCTCAGTGCAGGGTCTTACTGGGCTGCCACAGCTCCTATGTCATGCCATGTGGCTGCCTCCCGTTCCTCCCTGCTGGTGTTCCAGCCTGCAGCTTCGCCGCAATCCTGAGGCTCGTGGGGGTGAGCTCCTGCCCTGCATGCCACAGAAAATCGGCTTGAATGCCACTTACAGCATGAGTGCTATAGGGTGCCACGCCCTATTTTGTATAAATTAGTTTTGTTGCCAAAAGCACAGCAGAGATTTTTTTTTAATAAATTGAATTATGAAACCTTATAATTGTGCACAATGCTAAAAATGGAGTACTGACAGAGATAACACATAAATTGAAAGAAAATATCAAGGCTGAAGATGCCAAAGAGGTAATCAAACTACTAATATGAAACTTTACCTGTAATGGAGGCTAGAGATATA